GGGGGGGTTGCGGAAAAATGAGATGTATGTAGTGTTGCTGCCATGCGTGCCCAGTTGTAAAGGGTGATGTATGATATGCTGAACCAATGAAGGCAATATTTGCAGTACAGTATTGGGACATTTGTGGTAGTACCTTTCTGTTGTATTAAATGTAGTTTTATCCTTAAATTAGGCTTGTTGTCAAATCAGGACAGCTTGTTTAAGATGTATGATCTGTCTGAAGAAACATGTAGTGTTAAGCAGTGTTTTGAATGTGATCCCTGATGTGTTTGCTTTAAATAGGTTTAAGAAAATACTGCTTTTACTTAATCACAGAAGGGTATTGTTCATCTGGAAGAGTGATTTAAGTTCTCTTTATACAGATTCTGGTAAAAACTAAAGCAATGGTCAGTTTTTGGCAAGCTACAAGCTGGTTATCAACTTAGGGGAATTGCCTACTGAGTGCCCAGCTGGACTTTCAAGGGAGGACTTGCTTTGGAACCCAATAGTTGTGCATCAGAGCATCTGTTAAGAGTATCATGTTCCAACATCCTTTTCTTGAAACACCTGGTTTATTACAAGTCCTTATCCCTTGCTCTCTTATATTTTCATATAAATATATTCTGTAGTGCGAGTAGGTGCCTCCTTTTCTATAGCAGTCTCAGGAAGTCTCTTGGGTCAGTTTTGACTAATGTCCCAAACTACTGTTTCTCTTTTGGCATAATACCATCTTGGAAGACTAAACAGTGATGTTCTGAAGCAGGTGTGTTACGCTGCAGTGCAGCACTAGGCTTCCTTTAGTCCTGATATAAGAAAAGCAACAACTTAAGTTTTAGGAGTTAAAAGGAAATGAATGATTCTAGAGGGTGAGGCACTTTGTTGTTAACAGTTGATCAAATATTAGGCTTGGAATTATGCAAGAGTATTCTTAGCGTCAAGGTGTCAGTTTCTTGAATTAATAAATATTGCTGGTTGGATGGAGCAGTTGTATTCATAATACATAGAAAAACTCTATCTATAGCAAAATGTGTTAATTAGCTACCTTAATTTAAAAGGTACTTAATTTAAAAATTTGGCCTATGCCAAATACATTCATCATCCCCCAAAAGTGTGTCCAGAACCTGCTGAATTTTCGAATATTGCATATTTCCTGATAGCTTGTCACTAAATATGAGTTTCTACTATCAGTTTCTCCATCTGAATGCTGAAGCAGAACAGGGAACCGTACCAAAGTATTTGTTTTCTTTCTTGTGCATGGCTTTTAGAACAACCACCATACTGATCGAGTCTGCTGTTTTGATAAATGTTTTTACATGCAGGCTAACTTCTTGAATTCTCTCTTCTTCAAGGCGAGCAAAGCTATTCCGATTTGCATCCGAGAATGACCTTCCAGAATGGAAAGAACGAGGAACTGGCGATGTAAAACTCCTGAAACACAAGGAGAAGGGAACAATTCGCCTCCTCATGAGGAGGGATAAAACCCTAAAAATCTGTGCAAACCATTATAGTATGTTATACTTTACTACTTGTTCTTAAAAATAAGCTTGTCAAAGTGTACATTGTAGATTAAGTACTTGGTATCTTTTTTAGTAGCAGGTAGAGAACTCCTGTGTGTCTTTAAAGAGGTGTGAAATTCATATTGGACTGTCAATAGAGTTGTCTCTTGCTCTGCACACAAGGCTACAAGCATCAGAAACAATTGAGTGCTTATTTTTGTTAATGGAAAGAACCTGTGATTTGTTTTGGTGATTGTCTGCAAGAGTGGGACTAGAAGTTTTTGGGGTTTTGTTGGTTTGGGGTTTTTTGTTAAGTTGTTTTTTTTTTTTTCTTTTTTCCCCCCTTTCAGACTCTGGTAGTGTTCTAAAGACACTTTAAAATTTAGCTGGGATAGGCAGGCATTACGTGATTGACCCCATTCTGTGCATGTGTGTTCTTTTTAATGGTTAATATAGTGTAGGAAATAATAAGAAATTAATGTATGCTGGCCATTTTTGTAAAAGAATGGGAAATAAGTAATCATGTAACAATTTACTACTTTGAGTTGATAGAAGCAATTGCTTAACCGTCAGAAAACATACTGAGGTGCTAGTCTAATCTGTGGCTGCCTTTCTCTGCTTGTGAAATAAACTGAAATGAACATGGTATATTCAGCTTATCCTTTAAAAAGAAGGTGTAGTGAGAGCTGATGGAGCAGGAGGGGTTTGTTCCTTTGATCCTCTGTATAAAAATAAACATGAAAGGGCAAGACAGACTTGAAAGTCAATATAACTAGCAACAAGTAGACTAATTCGGTAATACTTTGTTACTTGCTTGCTTTGGTAATACTCAGGTTTTTACATGAAGAGTACAATAGTATCCTGTGGAGTTAAATTACATTTAGATAAACTGAAATAACCTGTTTGAAGTAGCTTAAGACAAATCTGAAGTCGGAAGCAATAATGCTTGCTTTCTGTGGGCAGATCTCTTCAGAAAGTCAGACTATTCAGAGGGCACAGGTGCTCCTGTTTAGTAATTGAAATGGCAAATGGGAAAGAGGTGTAGTCACCAACCAACAAGAATGGACCTTTTGTTTAGAAAAATAAATGTTGCGCATATGCAAAACAGAATTGGTAAATTTATAGTGTTAGTCTCAAAAGGGGTTTTTTGTGTTTTCCAAAACAAATTGCATTACATTAAACAAAATGTAATTTGATCTCTTAAGTTTAAAAAATGCAAGAAAGTGAATAGACTTTTCAGATTTCTCCCAGATTAAAGAAAGGACCCAGGGGGTGGGGAGATAAAAACCCCTGCTTAAACTTTGCATGTGTGTTATGTAGAAGTCTTAGAGCAGTGTGACAAGTCACATTCTAATTTCTATCAGTCAGGTGAAGTAATTAAAGTGTCTTGGAGGGAAAAGGCTCCATTCACTGGGAAGGATCAAATGGCTTGAACATACGCTGTGCACATCTTGCAGCACTGCAAAATGTATAATGCCTTCCAGTAGAGCTTTAAACTGGTGGGAGAGAATTGAACCTGGTTTGATAACTAATTGTAGGAATAAGGCTTTACTTCAATATTTACCGTAGTATGTGGTACTTTCACTGTGCAAAAGAAGAACGAATGTGGTTTGTCTGGGTGCCCTTTCCTCCTAAACCGCGTGACTGTTCTTCAGAGTTGTGCTTAGTGACTGCATCTCTCCTAGTATCACAGTCATCTGTTCTAAACAAGAATCAAACTCTGTTTCTTAAAGCAGAGAATCTAGCATTCTTTTATACAGTAGTGGTCTTGCATCCTTTTATTTGACAATGTAAGGAAAAGATGGATATGGGCACCATTGTCTTCTATTTATCCAAAAGTATTTCTGTGTAAAGTGCTTTACATAAGCATTGCTGCCAGTTGTCAGTAAGTTGTGGAGGCTGGTGTGGAAAACATTTACTATTGTGCGTTGTACATCTTTTAATGCTTTCCTTTCAGTCACACCTTTAATGGAGCTGAGGCCTAACGCTGGGAGCGACAGGGCGTGGGTCTGGAACACACATGCTGACTTTGCAGATGAAAGCCCCAAGCCTGAACTTCTGGCAATCCGATTTTTAAATGCAGAGAGTGAGTAGACTGGCACTGAACTTAACATTGATTCTATACTGTTAAGTTACACTACATGTCTAAACAATACTGTAAACCGCTGTTGTAGATATGCTATATCTTACCACTGCATGGTAATATTAGCTAATTACTGCTTCAACTGAGAGAAGTTGGTTAATCACTTAACTATATGTGTTGACAAACAGTGTAGTAATTAGGTCTCCAGTAATAGTTATAGAGCTTTCTGCCTCGGGCACTGTTTTTTTGACATAAGCCATTTCACACAGGTGTAATGCCAATCTGAATAAAACTAAAAGCAGTAATACTATGTGGTAGAGATTAGGACATGCAGCTTGCTTTCATTTATCTCAGGTGCTCAATTGTACTTGATTACATGTTTGCATTAGAAGTAAGGAAATGCTGACCTGAGATGTCTGGTCTGTCTGCATTAGCAGAACATCTGATAGTTTTCTGTAATTATTTTTTTGAGTAACATCTTTGTTTTGATTAAAGTAAAACACCCAGTTGAAAGTGCTATCATAGTAGTTAGTGCGTGTTTTTCCAGTAGTGAGTATATTGACTACTGAAACAGAAAGTAGGTCCGTGATTACATATGGATCAGTTAGCTAGGGCTGAATGCTAATGTAGCTTTCCCAGCTCCTTAGGATTGAATCAAAGAAGTGGTTTGGGTTTTTTTTCTTGAAAGAAGAAGTAAAATGAAAGAGGAAAAATGTTGTGTTTCCTGCTTTGCCATTTGCCGCGTAAGGTTAGTGTGTTAGCCACCTCTTCTCTTTACATGCTAGATGGCTAATAATACGGTTGTATATTTTTAAACTAGATGGATTTGTCTATATCTGGGAAGAACTTAGTATATCTTGCTTGCTTCCTTATCCTTAAGTCTCCAATATCATGTTGTTTAACCAAATAAGTCTTTCTGGTCCAACTGCTTCTTAATCAGGAAACTAAACGGGTTTGGTAACTACTTGGTCATCTTTGAAAAGTCTCCTTTCTGGTAGAAGTTGTTCAGCTCATTGAGTGTTTGTCTTGAGGGAGGAGTCCTCTTTGCCTGTTTACACTTGCAGTACTGACTGACCAGCTGACAGGTGAACAGACATAAGCCTACCCTTCAAGTATCCTTCCTTTTTGTGATGCTTGAATAGGAATCGATACAAATACTTCCTGAACTAGTTTCATAGTGGCTTCTGAATTCCTGTGGGGCAACAGTGACCTCGTGTGGTCAGTCAGACCAAGTTGGCATATAGCAAATTACCTTCTTCACCTTTCTGGTGTTAAAACTACCTTGCCTGATCTGCTTTTGTGTCTTGTTGCTTATATTACTTGCGTAGAAACATTGTTTCAACTGCAACAACATGATCAACTGCTTGGAATGACTGTTAAATCACGTGGTGGATTAAGCCAAAACACAACCAAGGTTATGCTTCCTTAGCTGTTATAGTCAGGAACAGCTTGAGTCTGGGCCTTGGGGTGTTGAATTTGAATGCTGTGCTAGTGAAACAGGCTTTACCTTCCATTCTTGATGCTAAGAACCCTAAGTTATGGTAAGGAACTGGAGATCTTTAAGGGTATGATGTAGCTGACACAGGTGGTAGCTCAAAGCTGATCATCAGACTTTTGCACACAGTCATATTAGCAGTGTCTGACAATATATTATTCCTGTAGGCCAGGGACAGCTGGGAGGTAAAATAACTACAGAACAGCTCCTTCTGACATAGTTTTAAATACCTTGCAAAATAAGATGCGTTAGTAGACTTGCTAAAAGAAATAAACTGCTTCCGCACAAGATGCGATTCACAAATTTTGCATAGCATCTTGTATGATTTTCAACTAGACTGCTTCATAAGTGCTTACGCGTTTTGTTTGCACAAAACTTTTCCTCATGTCTTTACTCAAGATTGGAAGTATTCAGTGTTGGAAGGAGGTAAAACTAATGAAAAAATACTTTGTCTTTAAAACAGATGCACAGAAATTCAAGGCAAAATTTGAAGAATGCAGGAATGAAGTAAACCAGCGAGCAAAGAAAGGTAAGGTTAAAAGTCTAAGTGTAGTACCATGTTACTTCTTCTAGGTGTTTGAGTGGTTACAGCACCCTGGAGTACTGTTTCAGCAGACTCACTCTGTACTGAACTGCAGTCTTCAGTTCAGGTGCTTTTTCTGTCTGCGAGAGTAATTGTTCACAGGAGTGACAATCGCCTTCTTTCTCATAGAAGGCTGTTACAATTGCTGTTGGGACATTGCCCTTTTGGAAAGGCTACTAAGGAAGCATTTCTGGTCTATATTACACAAATGAACTGTGAACACTGCAACCACAGTGATATTTCCTCCTTCTAGGTCCCCTTCCCAAATTCTACAAATACATAATTATGCAAGTAGAATGCCTAATTTTTATAGTTAATGTGTATGAAGTTGTAACTTTTCTTCACAGGTCTCTAATAGATTAATGTACTGCCTTGTAGAATTGCCTGTGTCAAGATAGCTCACTACGTAAAATAAACGCCTTCATCTTTCTAAAGTACAGATTATGAGTGGTCTGCACTCAGCACTCATCAGGATATTTAGATCAGTTTTTCAGTCTTAAGAACTTGTATTCCCCAGTTTCAAACTGGGGAACTAGACTTTTGGTTAAGATATGCAAGAAGCCAGGGGCTTGAGACACTGACTTGACTGGTCACTGTATATGGAGTCTCTAACTGGTAGCAGCAAAGGTGACCAAATGTTACGTGTTTCTTAGTCCCTAGGATTAGGCTCTCAAGTGGTATTTCTTGAACTGTGACATCTGAGGTAGTAACCAAAGGGAAAGAAATGGAATTAATCACTCCAGTGCTCAGGGGAGAATTTCTTTACTCTTGTTCTTACTCTAAATACCAGCAGTGTCTCCCCACCCCTCTCACCCTCCACTTCTCTTTCCCCTCTAACAGGAAAATCCATTACTGCCAGTTTGTAACTTTTTTCCCTAATCAATCTCTTAGCAGGCACAGACAAAAATGATAGTGCTGATAAAGTTGCTGAAAAACTAGAAGAGCTTTCTGTAAAGGAAGAGAGCAAAGAATCTGAGAAGAAAGAGACCAAGGAAAAAACTGAAGAAAAGCAATAAATCATTCTGGGCCTTGCAGTTTTTCCTTTCCTTTTCTTTTTTTTTTTTTTTCCTTTTCCTTTTTTTTTTCTTTTTTTTTTTTTATTATTTTTATTTTTACAAGGGACTTTATAAGGAACTGAATTCAACATTCAGGTTGTTTTTTCTAAGCTTTAGTCCTTTTGAAGATGTCTTCAGAAAAATCCATTCCCCAGTCATGAAAATGTACTGTGCTAACTTTCTTTTCCATAGTGGAAACACTTATTTATAGTCATCCAAAAGAGTGAATAAAACAAACTTGAAAATGGGATCAGAGGACAGAACTGAGTTTTCTATGTACTTTAAAAGCTTATGAATACACTTGTTTCATTGGGTGTTGAGATACATATCATCGTACCTGTGGATTAACTAGGTTAACAGGGAAGATTAAGATTATATACAGGTTTCTTACATGGCTTCTAAAACTGTAATATAGCAGACCCTTCATACTTTCTGCTGTGTGGTCCTGAGCAGGGAATGTGTCTGATTTTTGATGTGCAGAAGACTTCTGGAATTGGTATTCCTGCCACACTTTTAATGCTGTTCTATCAGACAGTGAAAATAAAGGTGGGGGAGAAAATGTGTTATGTGAGACTTGAGAAGTATTTTCCTCTTACAAGAGAAAATCTCTGTTTACCCCATGACCCATAAATTTGTTAAATGCTTGACTCTAGCACAAAGTTGATGCTGTGGTCCCAGATCTTCCATGATGTGCTGCTTGCTGACTGAAGGCAGTGGCAGCCTCTTATATTAAGTTGTATACAAAGGAATCTTAATTGTTTGAGTACCTTACTATGAGATTCCTTGATGTCAGCATATCATAGAAGTTGTACTCTAAAATCTATAGGGTTTTTTTTTTTTTTTCAGTGCTTTGGACCTTGCATTGTTTTTACAAACCAGAGGGGTTCTGAAATGCTAAGATGCATGTTGGAACAGTAATATTGTACACACTCAAGGGGTGCTCCCCTTGCCAGAATGAGTGAATTGATCAGATCTTTTCCCTGCAAATGTTTTCTGTTTATCCGGTTTCCAGTTAGTGCTGGAGAGTAGGAAAAAATCCTATAGTGAGCAATAAAATCAACACGGTTTAAAGTCTGATAGTGGTTAACAGCGAAATTCAATTCATCTAATACAAGGATAGCATTAGGATAGGATGAAATTCCTAATACTTCCAAAATAATTATGAAAACTGGACAAAACTTGCTAAACTAAGACTGTATGAGCTTAACATTGGATAGCAAGACCTTTCTGTCTTCATAAAGAGGCTTTCCAAGTAAGTGAGGTTCTGCAGTCTAGCTGAGGAAAAGGTATTTCTTAAAATCCTGTCTTTCTACTTTAGCACTTCCTTTTGCTGCTACAATGAACTAGTCTGAAATCTGGAACTGTAATTAAGGTACTCACTTCATTCAAATGAAGTAATTCCTTTGGTGTTGTGCATGTTCCCCTTCAAGTACAGCAGATGTCAAAAGTCTGCTGATTAACAAAGGTGGTTGAAAGGTAAAGTAAAATGCTCTTTAGTGTTTCTGGTTTGGAAATAAGAAGACAAAGCTATTCTGAAGTACTTAACATTTGAATGTAAAAGCCAAATCTTTATCTGTGAGTCACTGTAAATTCTCTGATCTGATAATGTCAAACAGTGTCTAAATTGATAGAAATGCCATTTAAAAATTTCAAAATAAATTTAAATTTTCATTTAAAGGATTTGCTTTTTATTTAAAGAACTCTTACTGGGAATGCATTTTTAGCCTGCAGGGGCAGCACAGTGATGAAGGCAGCAAAATGGGTGAGTTTAGTTTTGCTGTCAAACATACAGAAGAGGGGAGGAAACACTTAAATGACTTAATTTGTCTTAATCTTAGATATTGATGACTCCTGCTTAATGTTATTTCCCTGTCTTCTTCCCCTCTTTATTTACTCATGCTTGCTTAAATGTTTTCAAGGTATTTCCATTCCTGTTTAGGTTATCTGATCCCTGTTCACAGTTCATGGATTACAACCATCCTTAATGCAAGTCTGCAGTCTCAAAGAGCCAAGATATGAGAGACCACTAGGTAAAATAATTTCTCTGGATAGCATTTGGCTGAAGAATGCTTAGTTTTCTAAACTAAAGGATGGTTAGTCAGTGTTCTGATCACTTTAGAAGCCATAGGTGTGCTCTCCTACAAGTTAAAAAGCAGTAAGTATTTTTAAAGTTGATCTCAGTAAAATAAGGTTTTGTGGGTTTAAGTCATTCTAATGATAAATATTCTTATATGTAACATAGGCTATCAAGAGATGTCCTTGAAATGTTTTTGTAGCTTTCTGTACGCTGAGTAAGAGTTCTAGCTGATGTACTGTCATATTGTCCTCCTGCCCAGGGCTTCCTGCTTTCCTACCATCTTCACTGTTAACAGCGTCACTGAGATGACAGAACGTCATCTGTCTTGTCAGGCAGTAAAAAGTCTTAAAATAATAACTGGGCCCAAAAATTGTAATTGTCCTTTGACCAAAAGGTTGGCTTGTCATGCAAAAGTTCCTGAACCTGTGGGCAACAAATTCAGATAGTATCTGCAGTGTGATAGAAATGTCTGGACTTGTTTGAAGGTATTATATCATAGTAAAAATGGATCATGCAGAAACATCAAATTCATTGTTCAGACACAGTACAGAAATTCACTGAATCTTTAATTTCTTCAGTTTATACGGGTGTGTTGAGATTTGTCTCTAGAATCCTAGAGATAAATTGGTTTCTAAGCTCTTTTGTCACCTGCAGTTGAATAGTGGCTGCTTTCCCTTCTCCCCCCAGTGAGGCACACTAACTTCTGGCATATTTAATTGCTCACTAAAATAATGGGGAGTATAGTTTTGTTAATGCAGCTGGCTAGAGAATAAAGTTGCTTTAAGCACTTCTCGCTTCAATAACAGTGTTGCTAAGAATATGGCTGAATCTTACAGAAAGTGCTTTTAAGAGGTTTTAATCCATTTTCAGTAAAACCAGAACTACAGTAGGATTAGTAAAGCATTGTCAGGTGCTAAAGTCTAACTTGTACATATTCTGCTTGCTTCAGGAGTAGAAAGATGCTTTATAGCCAGGCTCAATAACCCAGCCTTTCTTGGTGCTGAGTTTCTTGTGCATAAGACTGGATGAATGAGTGTCTGAGGACACCTGAATAACAAATTTAATTTAGAAATAGTTAAATTTGATTATCATCAAAATACTATCTTAACAAGTATTTAAGGTCTTAAAAAAAGACTTTTTTTATTATGAAAAATTCAAAGTAGTTCTCTTTAAATTCTGTGTTAACTATTTTGAAGACTAGTAGGTTGGGGTTTTCTCAAGGAATAAGCTAATAGCGATACTAAATGTCTTCACAAATTGAGAATGCCCTGATTTGCTGTATTTTAACACTGTAAATGATTATTATTTTTTTTCCCCATATAATAAGGTAGCTGCTGTCAAACACACGTTCTCTGTGATACCAAAACCTCAGAAAATTAAAATTCTCAGCACTATGCAGACATGAGAGTGTTGTGAATCAGTATTTTTGATGCAACGTGCTCAAGAAATACCTGTATGTAAAGGGCAAAAATAGATGTCTGAATAGTTCTTCCAATTTTAAATGAAAAATGAGGGATCGATCTGTACATACATCTTCCTCATGGAAAGAACTGATAAGGCTGTGCAGAAGAGGAGGAGGAGGGGTGAGGTTTGCAGGTGTACTACCTCTTTTTCTCACTTGGTATTCCATGTAGGTATGTGGTGAGGTATTTGGTTCAGAAGGCATCTGCAGCCTGAGGATGCTGGAGCATCTGTGCTGAAAGAGCACCTACTGGCCCAACCAGCTGTACCAGTCAGGAGGCTGGATTTCCCAGTTTGAGAATCTGTCTGGTCCAGAAGGTGGATGCTGCCTGTGCATTCTGTCTAATGCTGAATCGTGCTGAACTCTTGATTTATCACAACAGAAATGCTATTCATTATGCTGCTTCATCTCTCAATGCATTCCTTTACATGACTTAATGAAAAAGTTTAAAGACAAGACTACCTGATCCAGATAGTTCAGTTCTGATTCAGTTCCAAAACCTCAGCTTGATACCTGTTTAATACTGAATTGCAACTATTTGTGTAGGAATGGAGGTTGTGGGGGAGATGATAACGTTATAAACTGCCTCGCTGTTTTCTGATCTCCTGTACAATTTGCCATCAGTTTTCAGTGCTGACTACATAAACAGTGGTGCAGTAATTTAAAACAAACCTATGCCTCTGTCTGAGGCCATCTTCATTTATGCCCTTCTGTTCCACATACACCTGCCTGTTGCTTTCTAGCAAGCTGTATTTTGTAAGGTGTATATGGCAAGCTAGCGCCTTACCTTTGATTGGCCAGACTAATTTCAAAGGGCTCTTAAATTACTGAGGTCGTCTCTCTGTGTAAACTTGCACTCGTTTAGTAAAGGGAAGTGTGTATAAGGGATTTTTTTAATGGTTTATTTTATAGTTGATTTAGAACTTACTTTAATGGTCTTCCTAATTAAATTTAGGCAGAATTACTCTTTAAAACAGAAGTAAGAGGAATGACCAGTCTTTCACTATCCTTAACTAAATTTTGACAATGTATCATTTTCAGAGTCAGGAGATAATGAAAGATAACTGCAACAGATCAGCGTTATTTTTCTTGATGAAGATAAATTTGAAGTAAACAGCTGTAGAGTGGACTGTACATGTAAGTGATTTTTCAGACCAGCTGATGTGCGAACAAGGTGCTTTCTCAATTAAGCAGCTTAGCAATTACATAATAAGGAAATATTCTTAGTTGTGAAAACTTACAAGCACAGGAGCAAAAAATCCTCCTTATATTTAAGAGTTGAATAGTTACTAGTATCTCTAGCTATGCATCAGATTTACGACCACTGGTGTATTTTCCCAATATGCATATTTAAGTATGGGATATCTCTGTCTGCTTCTATCACAGTAGACATAAACCACTGACTTAACACCAGTTCATATTTGGAAGACTTGTTTATGTAACTAGTTTGCTGTAGTCTCCTAGTGAAAAAGCAAAAATAGTAAAGCAAACTTTATTTTGTGGGAGGTGTCTGATACTGCAAGTATTTAATGAACTTCATAGTCTTAAAGATACTT